CCAGATGGCAGGAGCTCAGACACACTCCTGTGTTTTGTAACTCTTCTGTTGAAGTGAAACTGACAGGGAGCACCTGAGGAGCAGATTGTGTGTGTGTGTGTGTGTGTGTGTGTGTGTGTGTGTGTGTGTGTGTGTGTGTGCGCCCTGCAGCCCTGCAGGTTGACCGGGAGCGTCGGGTCCTTCAGCTCCTCCTGCAGGACAAAGCAGGTATATTTCTTTCAGTCCCAACTGAGAGGAAAGAGTTGAAGTGAATCAGAGAATAAACTGATGACTGTCGGGTCACGTCATGGAAATCTGTGGCACCTTGTCTCATTGTTTTGCTTCTTCTCTTTCTTTGTTGTTAAAAATCAATCTTCACCAGTAACTTAACCAAAGAAAATAACATTAAATGTGTTGATTGTTTGTTGATCTGAGTTAAAAAATATTCTGAGTCTGCTGGAAAATTAAAAAGATTTTTAACACATTTCTACGTTATAAACTAAATTAAAGAGGTTGATCATCAGGTCCACTTTTCTGTATTATTGTTATTCTCCATTATTTTCAGTTTTCTTGTGTTTACATTTCTCTTGTGTTGTACATTGTGTTTTTGTTTTATACTCTGCTTCATCACAACAGAGTGCGCCCTCTCTTTCAATCTTATCTTGCCCAGTTGTTCGGTAATCCATCCATGACTACGACTACTACTCCTCACTTGATTAAGATCTGCTTATCCACTTTAAATACTACGGCGCCTTGAGAGGTCGGCTCTAAGTCTGGAGACAGAAAGCAGCTTTAGATAAATGATCATTATTGCTCCAGTATAATAACAACATGACCAAAGATACGAGAGCTCTTTATTATCCAGAACTTATTTCTGCCAATCGACACAAACTAAGATTTTTACTCAAGACTGTCGATTCACTGACGATTCCAGCTCCATCCAGCTGAAGGTGATGCTGATTACTGAAGATTTTATTCTTATTTTATTGATTAGCAGGAGTCAGTTCTGATGTTCAGCAGCCACATCAGGTCACACTTTTCTTTTTCCTTTTTCTTTAAGATTTTATTGCAAAAGGTTTTTTTTTTTTAATAAAAACTTGTGTGTAAGTGGAAAATAATTCAGCTTTTAAAAGGTTTCAGGACAGGAACAACTCTTCTGAATCTTACCAACAATCTGGCTTCTGACTCAGCCATGTGTTATGGGCTGAGGTGCTGGGTGGAGCTGCTTTCTGACACACTTTTAAAGTGGTTTTCCTCTTGTTTTTCAAACAGTACCTGCCAAGACTCTATCAATAACTGTGACTCTTCATTTGCACATAAAGTACGGTGTGTCTCAGGGCTCAATTCTAGGTCAAATTTTATTCTCCTTATACAGGCACACTGAGTTTCCTGCAGGACTGTCTGCACCAGTAAAACACAGATCCTTGTCATTGGCTCCCAGCACACTTAGGACAGACTCTGCCATCTGCTGGTTCCCAAAATATGGACCAACCTTTCCTCTGCATTGAGCTTTGCACCTAAATGATCTTATTTTAAGAAGAAACTGAAGACATTTATGTTCAGTTGAGTTTTGTGTGTATTCATGATGTCTTTCTGCATCTGTGATTTTCTCTGTAGAACTTGTGACCTGTGAATTTGCTTCTTATGGGGAACATTAAACTTTTATTGTGTCTTACTTTTCTGAGTTCTACCACTTCAAATAGCAATGCTTCCACTTCTGTTGCTAATTAATGCTGTTTCTAACCATCAAAAGCTTCTACCACTTACATTTCACACGTACAAACACACACACTCACACACACACACACACACAGACATAAACACTTCCTGTGCAACTGGGGCAGTGGTTTTCTTCGCTGCCTCTGCTTTCTCAGTGTCATTCTGCTGAACGCCTCCCTGTGTTCAGTGCTGACCTCTCTCTGCTGTAGATGCACCAGACCTCCAGGGACAAAATCAAGCTCAACCACTTCACCACCTGGACTGGATTTCTATAGCACCTGTGTGAAATCACCAAGGCAACACTGAGCTGCTGTTCTTAAAAATGAAGCTGTCCTGAGAGAGCAGAAAGTGGGGGGGGGGTCTGTGTAGTGGATGTCTGAGCGCTGCAGTGTCTGCTCGCCATGGCAGCAGCTCTGCCGGTGTGCTACCACGGCGCCATGAGCAGGACGGAGTGCGAGGATCTGCTGGGAAAGAAGAACAAGGATGGAGCTTACCTGATCCGAGACAGCGAGACCATTCAGGGAGCCATGTGTCTGTGTGTCTAGTGAGTACTCTGCTCTCTGGTTCTCTCTGGTGAGGCTTCGATGTGCCAGACTTCCCTTTATCTCAACTGTTGGTTTTCTGTCGTCTTCTAAAGCCTTTTGTAATTTTAACAGCTGCCATCACAGCTCATAATACTAATATTGCTTTATTCCTAATAGCACTTAGATAGGTATAATATTAATAGTAATTTGTGTTGATGCAAAGCTTTTCCTCATAACACACAAGTGTTAATATTGAAATATTTTATATGTAAATCAGAAAACTTTATCCAGTGTTCGTCAATGTTGAATAAATAGAAATAAGTTGTAAACAAAGTTTACTTCATAAAACATGTTTCTAACGTCACTGTCATTTTGGAGCAGGTAATAGTCAAAATAAAGAAATTGCATGTAAAATGATCAGTATACACTGTTTGCAAGTACATACTGTTTAATTAATAGATTTGTTTTAGTCAAAATTTAAAGAAATAATGGAATAGACGTTCATTTATGGGTCTTATTGCTGTGTTTACGAATGCTTCACTTGAATACTCCTTTGTGATTCCATTGTGGTGAGTTGCTGCCTCTTCATTTCTGTAGTTTTTCCATCACACTGTGATGAGAGAGAAAAGCCCTTTGCATCAGGTCTTAGTGACGCTGGAAGGATCACTCATGATGTGCACAAGCGGGTAACGTGACTAGTTCCTGTTTGTGCTGGTTCCTGTAACTCATCAGCATCATGTTTGATTTTATCAACTAAAAGTTGTTCGTAGTAAAAAATAAAGGTTGAAGAGAGGTTGGTAGAAATGTGTATCAATAACATGCATCCTGTTTGTCTTTGCAGTAAAAAGAGGGTGGTGTATACCTACAGACTGCTTCAGACACACAATGGACAGTACACTCTTGTGGTAAACACACACACACACACACACACACACACATACACACACACACACACACACACACACACACACACACACACACACACACACACACACACACACATACAAGCAAAAGCGCATCAACAGTGGAATTCAACCCAAACATAATTTAGAATTCATTCATTCATCATTTATTCATTTTTTATCGCTTCAGTTTACACAACATAATACACACTCCATGTTCTACCAATACTCTGAACAACCTTTCAATCAATCAAACTTTATTTATGCAACACCTTTCATGAATGTTATTACAATTCAAAGTGCTTTATAGAGGCTGATGATAAGATAAGAAATAAAACATTTTAAAATTGATACGAAAACTGACAAGCAACTGACGTCAGGAGTTTACAGATAGGAGAGTGTAACAGCAGTCTGGTCTGCGTGATATAGAAGTGTGCATTAGTCACTGTGTGTAGGCGTTCACGGCGTGGCTCACCTCGACTTCTCCCCTGACCGTGGAAAAAAACATATTTTAACCCTAAAAAATTCTGTTTTATCCTGGTTCAGCTGTAGAAAGATTTGGGAACTGATATCTGAAATATATAATCTGATAATCTGAAATATATATATATATATATATATATATATATATAGGAAATGGCATTTACTGGTCCACATAAAGCTGTGTGTCATCAGCATAGAGGGGTAACATATATAGGATAAAAGTGACTTTAGAGTCTGGTACAAAAAACTCTCTTTCAGACACATTTTTATGATCATTAACTTCATAGAGACTTTTAAATTGATTAAGAGAATTGAAGTAAACATCTGCTCTGATGTCATACCTACAAACTGATCATCAGCTGAACTTATCACAAACAACTTCTGCACATTTTCTTTTCTATACTTTGATTTGAATTCAGCTACATCCTTCAGTTTTATTGCCCTTCATGGGATAAAAAGTCTGTTGTTATGTAATTGAACCTGACTTAGACTGATTTTCCTTTCATACACACAAACATAGTGGATAATTTTCAGCCCTGCGTGGTGTCTTCATGTTTAGCTGTCAGGCTGAATACAGCTCCAACAACCGTAACCAGTAAGGTAGGGCCTCCTGTAGGTCACCTGAGAGGCAAAACCAGGTAAAGAAATGTTCTAATCATTGTTCCACTACTACCCTCTGTTGCTCTTTAAGCTGTGAGTCCGTGGTAATAACTGGAGGCAACTCTAATGAGCATATCAATGTTTTTATAAGTGGGCGTAAGAGAATAAAGGTCAGGGATTTTCAACCTAGATAATAAAAGTGAGGGGAGGATTTTGAAAAGTGTGCGCAGTATATACAGTATAGTGGCTTTACATTAGTGGCGTATATATTAGCCAACACCTCAACACAGGAACTAAAATATGATGAAATAAGTACAAAAGTCCCTTATAATCCAACATATACTCTGTTCTGAACTACTTTAAAGTATTTATGATTTTCAAAAATTTCCACCTGTGAAAAACAGACCATCTGTCACAACACTTATCAAAACATGCTGGGTGTTTCATTTCATCCCCAAAATGGAAACTTGGTAGTTATCAGCTCACCCCCTTAGCAGAGGAAACTTCTCTGACGTTGGTTTAGGCACAAACACACCACACAACACTTTGTACCACACTAACGGTCTGATAGAGACTTTTTTGGGGGGGGGGGTATTTATTTTCCATTCAACTGCACAACTGCAAGCATGAGGTCACTGTCTAATGGAGCAGACGTTTACCCTGTAGATCTGCTGCCCACTTCTCAGAATTGTTTGTTCAGCAATGAAAACCAATGTCGTGGTTATTGATGTTGCGCAACATTGCAGCTACAGAAGTTCTCATTATTTGGCCCTCTCCTCTTGTCTCAGTATTTCTTCCTCAGGATAGATGTCAGAGCTAACAACACAATAAACAACATGAATCAACGCTTCATCACCTCATGAAGGAGGATTTGTCTCAGGACTGTTGCATTAGACTGCACTAGTATTAGTATTACTGCTGTAATAAACTGCCAGCTGACTGTGTGCTGTATATATGACTAAAGGTTGACGGTTCCAGGTTCAGCTTTATTGTCAGGATTTATTGATAATGAAGTAAATAAATAAATTAGAATAGAATAACACATTCAAATAGGCATTAGAATAAAGCAAGGTATATTCTACCTTGCTTTATTTTAATCTAATGTAAATGTAAAAGTTATGGTAGGAAGATTTATTATTGGGGGTGAAGGTAGAGCGAAGGGACCGGTTTGGTTATATGCACATATAGACCAACACACCAGAATAATTCGATGTGAATTTCACAGACATGTTGCAATAAATATCACGGTGTTGAAGCATGAAGTGTGGAGCTGAGGTCCATGACAGGAGACCCTCAACACAGAGCTGCAGTGCAGTCACATTCTCACGGACTCGTTCTTCACTGAGTGTTTTGTTTTGCCCTCAGACGGCGGGAGGTGTGGAGGAGACGTTCTTTAAGAACTTGGAAGATCTGATTCGTCACTATAAGAGAAAGAACCAGGGCCTGGCCATGCACCTGCGCCACTCTGTCAAAAGGAAGACGGCCTTGTTGATTAAACCCCCAAACCCACCTGGAAACCCACCTAGAAACCCACCTGGAAACCCACCTGGAAACCCACCTGGAAACCCACCTGAGGAAGAGGAGGAAGATCCATTCGAAGAACCTGATTATGAGAGTATGTCATATGTTTTTTTTACTGATCTTTCTCACAGCATCTTCTTTGACTCATGGTGTATTTGACCTTCTCTTCTCCTTCTTCTTCTTCTTCTTCTAGACGCTCCTAACTCTGATTACGTCGAGGTCCTCCCTGATTAACACGAAGCATCAAGCACATGAAGAAAGTGCCAAAGATGTTTTGGGGAAAAGGTCTGAACAATGGGACTTAAAAAGGACGACGGATCAAGTTCAGAATGATGAATAAGGAACGTGGACAATGGACACGTCCTTAAGAACAAAGATCTTCATCTTGTATTTTCATTTTTTTTTTTTGTTGTTGCTGTTTTTATCCAGCGGATCAGTGGTCATTCCACCACTTTGCTCCAGACTGAAATATCTCAACAACTATTTATTGGATTGCCATGAAATTTGCTTCAGATACTCGTGTTCACCAGAGGATGGATCCTCCTGACTTTCATGATCCTCCTGACTTTCATGATCCCCTGACTTTCCTTCTAGTGTCGTCAGCAAGTTTTGTACATCTGGGACACACATTCACGTCCTCCATGAGCCTTAGTCTTGTCCTAGTAGTCCTCAGTCTTTTACAGTTTACAGTTATGTGGTAGGACTTGTTCCATCTGATCATTTGCATATGACGCATGCTAGTTAGTTATAGGCATATGGAAAGTCTTGACCTATTAAAGGGAAGGTCTTGATGCAGCAAAATTTACCCAAATATCTCAAAATGTGTGATCCAGTCATCCAGCTGAAGGACAGTTTCATTATTCCTCAGCCGTGGTCTCATTTACATGTTGTTTCACATCATTAACAGTTGTGAAAGGCACAACTTCAGCTCCATAAACTGAGAGACTAAACAGTTTAACCACTCCGCGCTTGTAGCTGAGCTGAAACACCATTTCTTGCTCTTCACATGTTGAATTAATGAAGAAACAGGAAACTCGCACAATAGTCACGTATGTTTAAATGTTCTAAAAGCGCTCAACCTGAGCTTCCTGAAGCAGGACACAAAATGAAAGTATCAGTCTGGTCGACCAAGAAACATGAGAAGAGCAAAACCACAATGTGTCTCAAATGTTTTGACTTCTCTGTCCTGGTTGTTTGGTCCTTATTATGTCGGGGACTATTTTCTGCGGTGCACTGATCCATATGTGGCGCTGCATAGAGTATTTTGGGGCAGCAGGTGTGTGCGTGGGACTGAGTCTGTGTGTGTTTCTGGTGATGAAAGTTTAATAATAGTATTAGTAAAAGTTTTTGGAAACATTGGAGCTGTACGGCTCAGAAGAATAAATACTCTCACACTACTGAGTTACTCAGGTACAGTCAGTGTTGGTTTTGCTCTTGTCATTAAAGTGTCATTAAACTTTTGATAGATAATACCTTTGCATGTTTTTCCCAGACTTTAACTTTGATTATTGGATCTTCAGTCGAGGGAATTTAATGTTATGAAGAAATATTTCAGTGGGTTTGACCTTTGTTCTGTTAAAGAGCATGTACATGTACATATGAGATTTTTAATGTGGGCTATTTATTCATATATATTATGCAAATTTTTTGAAAACAAGAAACATGATGTTGTAAAAGATAAACATACTGTGATGCTTTTTTCAAAGAGCATAAAGACAATCCTCAGTATTATGTAACTAGTAGTTTTCATATGCAATTTAAACATGTAGCATTAGAATCACAGGACTTGGATGGATTTGATGAATATGTAATATTAAATTTTCTTCTTCTTTCTTTTTGACAAGGAGGTTAATAATTGATTTTAACTTTCATCCTGATTAATGAGGGACTAAAATAAGATCTGTTTTTATTCTGCAATTGCCAAAAATCTTTCTGCTGTATGTGAGACTGTAATTGGTCAGTTTTGCCCTGTTCATCATTTCTTGTCACCTGGTTTGTCAAAGCAGTGAAGGGAGGGTCCAGACAGGAAACAAAATGTTGGCGTGAACACATTTGCATTTAACAAGTACTGTAAAGTTGACAGAAGAAGTCGGATATGTTGATTGTTTTGTTTTAAACCAAAGAATCATGATCATATCTAAACGTATTGCATTTATATTGTTATAGCTTATAAGCTTGCAGCTTTGTCTTGTGTGGTCTGGCTGCTGTGCACTCAGCCTGGCGTTGCTTTATCTTCAACATCGTTTACAGGTTGTATTGCAACAGATGTCACATTATTTTTGCTTTTATTTTGATTATATATTTTTACATTTGTTTTTATTTGCTGCAGACATCTAATATTTGACATTAATGGAACCTTTTGTTTTTAATCAGGCAACTCACTCACTCCTTATGATTATAATCCTGTGAGGTTCACTGTGACATACAAGTCACTGTTGCAGACACAAGAGACCTAAAACTCTGAGACTGTCCATCATGTCCTCGCCTTTCACGCGGATATGGACCGATATATGAATTTTGCAGCTACACAGACCTGTAGACCTGTTTGTTACAAAGTCAGACTTCTCTGTTTTATGGTCTGTGCGGACTAAACATCATCACACATCCTGTCTCTGTTTTCACACCCCACCAGTACAAGCTGATCTGAGCCCCTTCACATTTCTTTAACTGACCTTTTATTAAGCATTGCTTTCGTTACTTTGGTACTGTTATCATATTTCTTTGCACATTCATTTTTTTGAGGGAAGATTGATTTATTTTTGCACATTTCAAGTTAATGCATATCTCTGCCTCTTTAATTTATGTGACCAAACAAGTGCACAGGGGAAACAACAAAGACACGCGTGAAAAAAGTGGAAAAAGTCAGTGGTGTGTTTAAAGACAGGACGCATGGTCTAACCACAGTTTCCACACATAAATACAGAAGCAATTATGATCCTCTGCATCCACTCATACACACATGCACAAACGTGCTTTCACCCACCCTCAGTTAAAGTTGGCAGGAAATCTGAAAACAAATATAATATGTGATTACCATGACTGATTTATAAGGGCTGGCCTCAGGAACATAAACTTTTTTAAGACAGGGCACTTGTATTGGATTGCATTAGAATGTATTTGAACCAAAGTGTTGATTAAAAACATGTTTAAAAAAAGGTTTAATTTATTTAGTTTTATTTGTTCTATTCTATTTTATTTTGTACCTTTTATTTTGTTCTATTTTATTTAGTTTAAGTCATTTTATTGTTACATTTATTTAATTATTTATTTTATGTATTTTATATTGTCTTTTTTATTTTATTTCATTTATTTAGTTGTATTTATTTTGTTTTCTTGCATTTATTTTATTTTATTTTTTACAGTAAAGTAAGGCTGTTTCTTGCTCCGCCCCTTTGGTTACGTATCTCCTCGCGTGGCCTCTTCCAACACAGGTAATGGAGGGGGGGTTATACGTTGCATAAATTCGTTTAATTAATGAAAGATACAAAGTTAAAGCTTCCACATTATGTTTTAACATAAGGTATAAGTAGTTTAGTAATATAACACATTCATTTATATCATACACCTATCAATATTAGCTTTATTGATAAAGAATTAACCTGTCGTCTCTCCCTTTTCTCGAACATGGTCCGTTCCTTCCTCGTTCGAAGCTCGAAGCGGGAGGAGGCTGCCGTTGTGTTGCCGGTTGTTGCTTATGAAGAAAGAAAAAACCACCAAAGGTAGTCTGCGATGAAAAAGCAGGAAAATGTGGTTCTTTTACATACATGAGCAGCGGTTAAAAGTTATAAGCCACTTTTGAAATAAGCAATTTAATTTGCTGTTGTCATGAAAGACTAAGAAAGGCTTGCTAGCTAGTGTTAGCAAAGTCCCTAAGTTAGAGGTTCAAGATGGACGTTGTTGTCTTTGCGAGCTAATGCGTTATCTAACGATTTAAAACTTATAAAGAACAGTTTTGTTCCACAGGATGGACCTGACGACGTGTTTGAAGTCTCTGTTGTTGGCTATCCAGCAGTACAGAGACAGCAGGACGGTACAAAACGCAGCGCAGCTACAGAAACAAGTGGAGGTGAGCGCTGCTTTCTGCCTCAAAGGTTCAAATGTTCAATGTTTCATCCACAAAAACATGGAAATCACACTGAAATCACTGGTCTGATTTATAGACAGCTTAACAAGGCCACAGGTGTGGTTTCAGAGTCAGTAGATACACAGTGATAGGGCAGAATATCTCGAGGAGGCAGGTAGTAAATCAGGGGTTATGTTATGATTAATTATGATTAATTAAACAATGTGCATACAGTAGTTAAGTTGCCATAAAGGCTGGATGTTTTGTATACCCAAATATATACAAATGAAATACTCATTTGTAGAATTTACTTTGGGGTCTGAGAAATTGTGATGGGACAATATACATTTATACAATAAACATATTCCTTGTCCAGAAGAAACAAAGAGTGTGATTATATAGGCTGTTTTGCCAGTTACCACTGTAACAACACACCAAGCAAATTAAATGCAGTCTAATACGACAGTCCTGTAATGCATGCTCAGTTTTTGTTGAAACTGTTGGTCATTTTGTAGGTAGTGATATGTGGTGCTGTTGGACAGTACCTGTATTGCATTACACTGAGAGGTGATTTCTTTCTAGTCGTTTCGTTACTAAAAGAAGAAAAAAGAATTGCTGGATTGCCTCATAGAATAGAATAAATTATGTTACAATGAAAACAAAGTGTGAATGTGTTTGGACCAAAATGAAAATCTGTTTTAGCCTTGTGATTACAAGCCAAAATACTGGTACAGATATTTAAGCTTTTCTGAAAGTTGGTTGGTACATTTACACCAACGTAGCCTACAGTCTGCAGTAAACATGCTCTGTGTGTGTGTGTTTGTTTGTTTGTTTGTTTGTTTGCTTGCTTGTTTGCAGGAGGTTTCGGGCCTAAATTGTGACCAGCTGCTGTCTTCAGGCCAGGTGTTACCCAGTGAGTGTGTGAGTGGACTGGTGGAGCTGGTTGGAAACCCAAACACCAGCCCGAACTTGACAAGCTCCATCATCTCCCTGCTGGCAAAACTAGGTAGTGTGCACCTGTGTACATACATCATATCCCTTTCCCCCATCACACACATGCCACAACCTCAAGGCTGTAGCAGTTTTTCATGTTGGTGTCACATGGGAACAGGATCTTCTTTCTTGCAGAAAACTGAAAACATAATCCTTGTCTTTTTCCTATCTTGCACACACTCCCTCAGCCTGTGATGATGACAGTCGGGAGATACTTCACAGCAGCTACAACCTCACCAGCACCCTGGCCTCTGTCATCCACTGCCATAGTGCCACACCCAGAGAGCCACTGCTACTGCAGGTATGTCCATCCCTGCAGACAGTTTGGTGTTGCCTTGTCAGGCAGTGTCTTCTCTGTACAGGATATTGTCAGTGCACATTTTGAGCATCAAACTGAAAAAGATGCATTCAGTAACGGATGAGGTTGTCTCTAAAAATCCTGATGGTGCCATGTATTGTTTGATGACCTTGTAATGAATCAAGCTAAAATGAGTAATTGTTTTTATGTTAAACTTTGTAATGGATCATATGATGTAAAGATGCGTTTGTGTTTCAGTGTTTACAGGTGCTGCAGAAACTGACGTACCACACTCGCATCTTCCAGTCGACAAACTACATCCACGAGCTCATCGCTTTCCTCATGACCAACATGTAAAACTTGCATCTCACATCTCACAGTATGATGTCATGAGAGTGAAGGATTGTTTGGATCCAGCTAATCATATTACGCTCTTTCGCTGCAGCCAGTCTCACAATGACGACATCATCATGCCCTGCCTCGGCCTCATGGCCAACCTGTGTCGTGACAACCACTCGGTGCAGAGCCACATCAAGTCTCTGGTGAGTCTCAGCTGAATAAATGACTCAGGGGGTCCGTCTGTGTGTGTGAGGACGGACATGAACATTTTTACTTTCAGTTGCTTTTTATTTTAACAGGTTTGCATTTCCTTCCTCCAGCTTCTCAGTTGTAGGAATTTGCTGCATTTGTTGAAGTCATGTGACAGTGAATAGAATATCTTTGGTTAGGCAATACAAGACATCTGAAGACGTCACATTTCACTCGAAAACAGAGATGAACATTTTCACTATTCTTTGACATTTTATGGAAAAATCAAGAAAATAAGTGAGAATGTGAAAAAGTGTTGAAGTGCTGAAGCTAAAGAAATATAAATATGCTAATAAAATAGTATTTAAAATCGGTTGCAGGAAGCAGGGAGTGTTTGACAGATGCTGAAATATAGAATTCCACTTTTTTTGCAGGTAAAACAAAAGATTTTTTTTTTTTTTGTGAGTTTTATTATTTAAATTTAAATGCCCTTACAAGAGGTTTGATTGTTGACTGTGGTGATTTTGTTTTTGTATCACTTGTTTTGTGTCTCACTGCACTTACTGTATGTGATGTCCCGAGGGTTTGGGTTGTTTTTGTTGTGAGCCCACCAAAGCAAATTACTGTCAGCTCTATTGAATTGATAGTAAAGCATCTGAAAGAGGCAGACAAGATTAATCTTATTAGACTCATTAAAAACACAACTGAAAGTATCTTGTGGGGACTTTTAGATATCACACTTTGGTTCTTGTGGTTTTTTTTTTTTTTTTTTTTAGGACAGTGTGAAGCCATTTTATCGAACACTGATCAACTTCCTGGCTCACAACAGTCTGACTGTGGTGGTCTTCACCTTATCCATACTGTCCAGCCTCACTCTGAACGAGAAGGTTGGAGAGAAGGTGGGTTTCTTTTTACTGTGTGTTGGGTTTTCAAAGAATGACAAGGTTGTTGTTTTTTTTTTAATCTCAACAGCACAATTGTTTGTTCCTTTTTTGTGTTTGTTCCTCTTTTTACTTCAGTTTTTATTTACCACTCGAAGAATCTAACTGCAGCCTCATTCATCTTCTTTGTATCTGGGTTTGTTCCCACCAGCTCTTTGACGCAAAGAACATCCACCAGACGTTCCAGCTCGTGTTCAACATCATTGTGAACGGTGATGGCACTCTGACGAGAAAATACTCAGTTGACCTTTTGGTTGAACTGTTGAAGAACCCCAAAATAGCAGACTTCCTCACTAGGTATACAGATGTAGACGTTTCTAATGTAGGGTGTTTAACCGCAGTGGTCGCTTCAGTGCTCTGTGGACTGTGAATTGCATTGTTGAAAGCCATATTTCCATTGCTAGGTACCAGCACTTCTCAGCATGCGTGTCTCAGGTTTTAGGACTGCTGCAATCAAAAGACCCAGATTCTGCAGCCAAGGTGAGACGACAGAAACCAGACAATTATACACCAAACATGTTATACATTATTCTGTATGTCTTTATTTAACATTTCCACTGTAAAAACAGGTACTGGAACTCTGTTGGTTAAAATTGTCGCATCTTTTTAAAAAAAAATTTTTAATGCAAGACTGGACGTTTTATTTGGCAGACAATAAAGCAATGACAGGAAATGAGGAGGCGACATACAACAGATGTCTCCAGCTGATATCAAATATGACATGTTATTTTACTCAGTTCCTTAAAGCTATAACTCTAGGATCCTTTGAGGAAGAGATTTTTAACATCTGTACATGCTGATATCTGCAGGTTGAAGCACACAGGTTGTCAAAATTAAAAACAATGAAGTAACTCCACCCACCATGCAGTGTGAATGGCCAGAAGAGGGTCTTCAAAGTAGATCATTAAAATGTGATGTTGTAAAATGAGCTGTAGTGCAGGTTAAAGACAGAATTGTGTCTATAGCAGGTCAAAGGTTTAAATGAGCGGATCTGTTAATCCATCAGATTTTTTTTTTTTTTAACTATTTAGTGTTTGATCTATAAAATGTCAGAATATAGTGAGGCTTTAATCCTGATTTGTGTGTGTTGTCTGCAGGTGTTGGAGCTCCTCCTGGCCATGTGCAGTGTGTCAGGTCTGCGCTCGCTCCTGTGTGAGGTGGTTTTCAAACCAGCGGGGGCCAAACTCAGAGCAGCAGGTCGAAGGCAGGTGGCCGGACCGGACGGGGGACGCAGACCGGAGGCCGGGCTCGCTCTGGTGCAGTGGCTGAGCTCGCCTGTGGAGGGCGCTGAAACTTGCT